GAGTGAATATTTTTAATTTTTTAATAAAAAAAAAAAAATTCTATTGTTAAAATCGTTACTTGTCAATTTAAGGTCAAGTTTGACAAGTTAAAAAGTCAAAAAATTATTTAAAAAGTCAAAAAATTATCACTATTTATTAAAAGTAAAAAATTACGGTTGCACAACTTCCAATTCTAATTTTTCCCTACACACTAATTTATATAATTTTTTAATACACATTTTTCCATAGAAAGTCAAAAAGTTAACCTAAATATCCATATTTTTTTCTTCAATTTTTTAATTTAAAAAGACAAAAAAATACACTTATTTAGGACACACCAAACAACCTTTAAATTTGCTTAAGGGCAACTTGTCATTATGGCATAGTCAAAATTATAATTTGGCTAGTTTATAGTAAATTATCAAATTATGGTAATGTAATCATAGTCGTCGCATGTTTTTTTTGACACAATTGTAACAATATTTTCTTTTCTATTTAGAGGTTGTTTGGGATTATTTAGACTTTTTTTTTTTTTTTTTTTCTACTTGTAGGTTCGTTGGACTAATTGGAATAGAAAATTAATAATGATAATAATAATAAAATATAAATTTTTTGTTCTTCAATTTATTTTTGTTATTGAACAAGTTCATCTTGTTGGACTTTGTTGAATCTATTTTTATTTTTGTTATGTATTGTTTCTGTTTGAAAATTTTCTGGAAAGGTGATAGGAGAGGGAGAGAATGTAGTTGAAGAAGCTGAGGTAGTAAATTTGTCATTGTTATATTTTCTATAGCCGAATTTTAGTTATGGCAACTTCAATGGCATGCCACTGAAAATACTCTTACCAAACCAAAAACTTTAAAAAATAAAAAATTTGTTTTTATAGAATTTTCTCGTAATTAAAAGTAAATATATTGTGCTGAGCCTAAGCACAATGATCTTATTTGGTAAAATTTATTAACAACTTTAAAAGAATTATCTTAAAAAATTCTTAAACCTAGTTTTGAAAAAAAAAAAAATTTTTTTTGAATAGACTAAGTTTTTTTATCTGAAAAAATAGAAAAATTAAAATCTTTAAAAATTTATCCAATAATGACTTTATTAAAAGACAACGGTCTATTATAAAAAAAAAAAAAAACAACTTAAAATTTAAAAAATAAAAATAAATTTTACCAATGGGCAATTTTAATTGTGTTTAGATAAAAGAATTACGGAGGGATTTCCAAAATGATTAAAAAAGTGAATAAAAATTAAGTTATTTTTTTCTTTTTACTTTTTTTTCCCCTATTTTATGTTTTTTATTTTTCTTAGTAAAGGACGAACTGTGAAATGTTGCCATACTTGAAAAGAAAATAAAAAATATATATTTTTATTGGTTTTTTGCTAATAAAAATATTTGATAATTCTAGAATAATATGTTACACCATTAACTTAATGACACATATCAATTTATTTTTTAATAATATAATAGAAAATATGAAATCTTACTATTTAAACCAATAAAATTAAAATTAAAACATGAGAGATATAGATGCCTCAACACCATTAAAATAAATATTTCCTATTTCCTTTTGATAGGCTCTCTCTCGGCATCAATGTCCGGCCCCACAAATTACATGTGTTTCTTATGTTATAGAAGCATATTTTATTTAAAAAGTCACTATAAATTATTATACTATTTTTTTTATTTTTGTGTATATTTTTTTTATTATAAAAAGTTAAAAAGTAATTAAAATAATTTGTTTTAAAACGAAGCCTAATCATAATTTTTTGGGTATGAATTTATGTGATGGAAATTAAATTTATATATTGTGAAATTTATTATAAGATAATAATTTTGGATAATTTGTTAAGTTTAGATTCATAATATTGCTGGTTGAGTATATGACTACTTTTTTCTAAGAATGTGTTTGGGAACTAGCAAAATAAACTAGTTTTTTTGTTAAAAAATTCAGAGTAAATTACAAATAAAATTTTGAAAATTTATTTAAAATATGAATTGCTCTCTGTAATTATATAAATTTTCTTGTCAAAATTTTTTATTTAACAAAATTAACATTCATAACCATTCTTCTATATAGCAATAAAATTACTTCAATTGTTAATTGAAATGACATTGGTATACAAGTCCAAAAATTAGATCAAATTTTTAAGCTTAATGATGTGATAATCAATTAGGATAAGATGACACTCTCTCTCATATATTTTAATCACCAACTAATCATATTACTTTATATATCATTGAATATAAAAAATGAGTCTAAAAAATAAATTTGTATATCATTTTCCTAATTGAAATATACATTTAATAACATTAAAAAATGTTTGAATTAACGATTTATTTAAAGGGGTTATATGTTATGCGATTACATACTTAAAAGGGTGGGATGTAATTTTTAGAACTACGAAAGAAAATTTATATTTTAAGCAAATATCATGTATATTTATAATTTACTCAATTTTTTTCTTAAAAAAAAGTCATTAAGTTATTTTTAATCAACTAAAAAGTTAATTGTCACATTAATTTTTTACTATAAAAAAGTTTTTTTAAGCAACTTTTAACTTTTAAAAAAATATTAACTTTTTAAATTTTTTTAAAAATAAAAATTTAAAAACTATAAAAAAAGGTAAATTAATTACAAATACACTCTCTAAGATTTGCTTAAAATACAAATTACTTTTGTGATTTGAAAAATTACAAATATCCCCTTGTTAATTTTTTATTTAACAGAATTAGTTAAAAAAATAAAATTCATAATTACTTTTCTATACAACAATGAACTTACTTAAATTATTAATTAAAACATATTTCTAATAATATTAAAAATTATTAATTGACTTTATAATTTATTAATAAAATGGTGATTTGTTATAAAATAAGAAACTTCAAGGAGTGAAATGTAATTGTTAATATCACATAAAGCAATTTATATTTCAATCAAATTTCAAAAAATATATTTATAATTTATCTAAAAATGAACCTCTACGACCAAGCCAACCAATAGAGAGAGAGAGAAAGAGAGAGAGAGAGAGAATTAAGTAGGGCTGCAAATGAACTGAGCTGTTCATGAATAGGCTCGGCTCGGCTCGGCTCGTTTACTAAATGAGGAGCCGAGCTCGAGCTCGTATAAGCTCGGCTCGTTAAACTTGACTCGTTTATCTTTATTTAAATTATATAATAAATATATTATTTATATAATATAAATAATATTTTTTATTTAAATATTTATATTTAAATAATGTAAATAATATTAAAAAAAATTATCGAGTCAAGCCGAGCAGAGCTCGAGCCCAGCTCCTTATCGAGTCGAGCTCGAGCTCAATAAACAAGCTCGATAAGTAAACGAGCCGAGCTCGAGCTCAGTAAAACTTGACTCGACTTGATTCGTTTGCAGTCCTAGAATTAAGTAATAAGGAAAAGACAAACAAGAGAAAGAAACGTCTTATCACATGTCTCTATCCTGAAAACAATTCCGTTGTTAAACAAATAAAATCTATTACACGCAATTTGGAAATATTATCAATTTTTCGATTTTGTTTTAGGCACATCATTTTTTTATTTTTTCACATATAAAAATAAAAAAAAATCTAAAGCTAGTTTTTTTATCATCTTTTCAAAACGCCACTTAGGCGTAGTTTGGCAATATTTTTTTAGTCTAAAAATCAAAAAGTCACTAAAAAAATAAACAAATCAATAACTTATACTAAAAAATCAAAAAATTCATATTCTCTATGCTTTGCACGCTTTTTTGTAAAAAATTAAAAGTCATCCAAAATATACTAATAATTTTTTTACATTATATTTTAACCAAAAAATTAAAAAAACCTATTTCTAAACCTTAATTAGTGTTAATAAAATGAAAAAAAGCATTTATAGTCTCTTTTTTTTTTTTTTCTAGTAAGCTTTTATCCGACAAGTGGGCCTGGTGGACGAATCCCCATCTCGTCATCTATCCCACTCGTAGATAGAGAAACAGCACCCGTTGATTTCGTTTTCAAAAAATACTTTTTGATTTTTGATTTTTCTTTTTTTAGTGAATTTTTGTACATAATTAACTTTTAATTTTTTTTAAGATACTCATAATTTAAATGGGCTTAAAATATAGTGTATGTGAAGAAATCTAGAAAAATTCACTAAAAGATAAAAATCTATTAAATAAAAAAATAACATATTTTTGAATTTTTTTAGTTCCATTAATTTTATTTTTTAATTGAAAACTTGAGTATAATTTAAATTGTTGTACCTTTAAATTTTGGATATTATTATACAAGTCCAAAAATTAGGATACTTAAGGTAACACAATTTTTCATATCTTCTCAATCATTTTACTTACACATAATTGAATCTAAAAAATAAATTTATATATCATTTTTCATAATTTTTTTGGTAAGTGATGTTGAATTTGAGTTTATTACTAATGTAACAGACAAACCTTTAGCCTCATACTTTGTGGAAAAAAAAAAAATAAAAACTTGAAAACTAATTTTGCACAAAATTACAAATTACAAAAATTAATGAGTTTTTCATTTTTGACCACTGAAAAACGAAAACAAAAAATCGTAAAAAATTCAAACATGAACTTATTTTCAATTGTGGATTACTAGAATTTTATTTGGCAACAGCTATTATTTTGTCTTTATTTTTAATTTTGTATCTTTCTAGTTAGAGGAAGGCTTGGATTATTCTTTAGTATGTGGCATTTTTGACCAATAACTTTTTGGGCAAATCACATATACCTCCCTCGAGATTTAGCTAAATTACAGATACCTTCTGAGGTTTCAGAAATTATAGATATTCCTGAGGTTTGTATTTTCATAATAAGTTGCCTCCTGGATTTATATTTTCCTAACAATTTGTCCCATAATTTGTTATGCAAATAGTATCTTTACGAGGTATTTGTAATTTTTCAAATTTCAAAAATATTTATAATTTTACTAAATCTCGAGTGGTATATGTAATTTGCCCTAACTTTTTTTATATTCAACGAGAAGAGTATGCTTTTGTTTGTTTGTTCTCAATTATGGTTTGGCTATTATGCTAACATGCGCTCTAGTTTCGCGTGCATTTTGACATGTAACTTTTCTTCCTCTTCTTCACCGAAACCACGCATGAGCGAACCCATCTTCGTCTCTCTCTCGTCGTCTCTCTTTCTCTCGACGACCCAACAAATTACCTACCCAGCAGTTGATTACAGTCCAAAACCAAATCCTTAAAAGTCTCTCTCTCTCTCTCTCTCTCTCTCAACAAGTTTAGATATATATAGCTCTTCCTCCCCTCTCTCTCTCTCTATCTGCAAATACTTCGCTTTTTTTATGGTTGATTTGGTTTCGGTGCTACTTTTTTGGGTTGATTTGTGCTATTAAGGGCTTGTGAAAGCCAAGTATTCGATTGGTGCTGTATCACCAATTCTGGGTTTGCCTTGCTTTTTAGTGGGTTTGCTTCTTTGTTTGTGTTAATCTGATCTTACCTCTGGAAAATAGGCCTAAGGTCTGAATTTGTGTCGAGCGAAGAAGATTATGTATTGGGGTTGTGGAATTTGGCCATTTACGTAGCTTCCATTGAACCATTGTTTGCGTATTTTCTGTAAAGAAGCTCGAAAGATACCCTAATGACTTCAATTTTGCTCTGAATTCGATAGTTTTTTTTAGCGAAATTCTTTTGATTTTGGGTTTGTTTCAATCTCGTTCTACATCGAGTCGATTAATTGATTCCCAAGAGCAGAGGATAGAGCTTCTCATCGTTGTTCTGGTTCTCTTATCAGTGGGTAAGCTTCTACTGCTTACTACCCCATTTTTATTTGAATTTTAGTACTTAATTTCTTAACTTAGTTATAAACTCTTGCATGACCCTCTAAAATTTTATGATATTAGTAAAGTTGCTGATTAATCTGTTGCCTACTTTATGCTTTTGGACTGCTATTATTTTATTAAATTTTAAAAAAATAATAAAAATTACCGTGATCAAAAGGGCTTCTCAATTACAGGGCTTATCTTGGTGATTTGAGTCTCATGAGCTGCATCCCCCTCCCCCTACACTCAGGTATATATATATATATATATGTATGTATGTATATTGTATACAATGTTTAGGGCTTAGCCAATATGTCACTAACTTAAAATGCTATATTCATCATCGGGTCTCGATATGATTCATATAACTTGGAACAATTATTGTCCATCCATGTGAGACATAATTGATTCATTATATTTCTAATGGGCATGCCTTTTTTGAAAAAAATAAAAATATCCACAATTTTGGTTTCTCAACAAGGAAATCAGTATAAATCGGTTTCTAAAAAGATATGAATCTCTAGGTTTCATGAGTTTGTTCTCACAAGATGTAAAGTTTTCAGTCATTTAGGAGTTCAGAACCATTCAGACCATTTCCACTTTGAAAGAAAAAGTATCTGAATTTGATATATTAGTGATATAGTTAGATTGTATATTATTTTCCCCTTGAATTCCTATTTTTCATCTCTTATCTTATATCAAAGAGTCTTGAATTAAATGTATACATATGAATATATATATGGTAATATGGATTAATTTCATGTAAAAAATGCATAATTCCAACCTTTGATTATTACTTTTCATGCAGAGTTGGGATAATTCTATTTTATGGGATGGGGACTGATGTTGCTGAAGTTATGGAAACAGTGCTACATCCTCGAGCAATAAAGGTATAAATATGTGTTGTGATAGGTCCTTTTTCTGTTTATGTTTGAATTCTTGCCACTTTGGAAGCCTAAAGTCAAGGTTATGGGTTCCATGATCATCGAGGAGCCTTTTTGGTCTTAAGGGAAGAGTCCACGGTGTTTAAAGTTTATTTCTAAACTAGTATGTTGTTGGAGTTTTTTATTTACGCTCTCTTTGTTTTTGGGAGCTAATGGCATTTTGATGTTTTATGAATTTGTTGGATTTGGGTTCTAATATGAATCCATGAATCTTGTTTTGGGTCAAGCCACTCAAGTTGGTAATGAGTCTGTATAGCTTTAGTTTTATAATGTCCTGTCTTTGTAGTCATAAGGGTCAAGGTTTCCTATTTTGAATTCATAACATAGCTGGAGTAAAGATTAAACACAAGCCTTTATAAATGCCTATGTAATTCTTCTATTCAAGTGCATTGAATTTCAGAGATATCTTTTTTTGTGGTTTGTGTTTTGTGTGAGAATCGGTTATCCCCTGCCCCCTTTTTTTTTTTCTTCTCCTTTTTCTGCTTCTCCCTCTTTTGAAAAGTTTTCAGCACTCCATACTTTGCGACCATACCTTAAAAGCCACTATTCTCAACCATTAAACCGTTCCTTAGCCAACACAATCATTCCCAACATCAAGACCTAACCTTACTAACCAAAACGTACACCAAAGAAGAAAAGTACTGTTTGTGGAGTATTTGTTCACAGCCCCAGAACAACCCAAATTTCATCCTTAAAACTCTTCCATATTAAGACCTAATAAACCCTAACCTGTTCCCCTATTTTTGACCTATGTAACTTCAAATCCAGAGTGTGATTGTTATCTAGACTTTTAAATACCAACTTCATTCTGCAAGCTGCAAGTTTGAAAATCAAGCATGTTCTGCCTTTTTCTCATCTACAAACTTTGCACTCTCTTCTATCATTTAAACCCATTCATAAGCCTGCCATATTTGAGTATTCAAAGCTGTCCTACATCATCATAATGTCATCAAATTGAAAATGAAGATGTATAATCATGTGATTCTTAAGCAAGATAGCATAAATATATGATTTCCTGGTGAAAACTTGATAGGTCCTTTACCCTGTGAATTCTAAATTGAGTGTTAATACTTGTTCTTCTAGTGATTGCGGTCTCAAATAGTTATTACCTTTCTCTTTTTTACTATAATTATACTTGTTTTATCTGAGAGGATGACTCATTAGTTGTGGTCTCTGGTTGCAGGTCCATCGTTTAATGTGCACAAAACTAATAAAATTGCTTGATAGAATCTTAAAGATATTTCCAGAAATAGAAGCATGTCGCCCTCGGTGCTCATCAGGAATACAGGCACTTTGCTTGTTGAATGGTGGAATTGATAAAGCCAAGTCACTCATTCAGCACTGTAGCGATTCCAGTAAGCTCTACTTGGTAGGTGCTTGAACACTTTGCCAAAAAGAATTTAGATACATTAAATAGTTTTAATTGAGTATCACCCATGTAAAATTATCATTTTGAAGAAACCTAAAGCTTTATTGGTTTGGCCAAAAAAAAAAGAGTCCCATTTGGGGCAAGGTAGGCCCAAAAGAAAGACCCATGGGCGGACTAAAATTGCCGCCCCTAAGTCCATTCCCTCATAATAGACGAAAGGCCCAAAAGAAAGACTGCAGGCCAATACAACTTGGCATAATGGTGAAGTCACATGGGTCTTCATGCTTTTAGTCTTCTTGTAACTAGTGAAGTGTTTATGGTTGCTTCAAGATATACCTTATGACCTCTTACTATAGGGGTTTACCTTGCAACATATGTTACACGGACTCTTTACGTTGCGACATTTGTTAATAATTTGTTAATTGTTGTGTTAATGTTATACTGTTTCGACAATGTTCTCAGGCAATAACAGGGGATGCAATACTTTCAAGATGTAAAAAATCAAGGAAGTTACTAGAGCAAAGTTTAAGCCAGATTGAAAAGGATGTTCCAGTAATGTTGGCTGTTGAGGTTAGTCAAATTACATGTCCTTTCGAGATATTCTTTATATTTTCCTTGGCCAAGGGGTGGTAGTAGGTTCATGTAAATTGATAAGAAAAAAATAGTAATTGCGACTACTGCCTGAATAATAAGATCTATTCCTTAGTTCATACTAAAGTATTTCTTTTTTTGTTGTTTTGTTTTGACCCAATGAAGTTCTCTGCCAGTATGGGTTATTAATTGAGCATGTTCTAAGTAGTATAGGCACGAAAAGTGCGACACTACAATTTTAAATGCAGGACACGTTAAAAATTTATATGTTTGACAAATATCCGAATAAATTATTCAAAGGTAATGAAAAAAAAAGCCACATAACACTAATTAAAATTAAAAAGTCATATATTGCATAAGTTAAACATCAAGATATGATTTATGTAACAATTGCATTCTAAATAAAGAATGCAAAACAATTGTAGAACATTGAAACAAACATAATGTATTTATCTTATAAATGTTTCAAAAATATATTTGGAGTGCCCAAGTTGCTGTTCAAATAATGCAAAACATTGTTACTATGAAGAGATCCATCACATTGGTTGTATTCAATGTTTTCGTCGAAATGTCTACAAAGTGTTTGATATTATGAATTTAATGTTTTTATTGAAACATGTTGAAAAAGTGTCAGACATGCTTTTAGGAGTGTTTATATAGCCTCAGTGTCGGACATGACACGCTTGAAGTGTCTGTGCTTCTTAGAGCATGGTTGTTATGTTGATTTTATATTCCATTCGTCGGTACTTGTTCCATGCTTGTTTTGCATTTCTTGTCCCCTTTATGGATGTATTAGTTCTCTCAAAACATTATGGCCATTAATCTCTAGATCCTTCTTCCCCCATTTTTCTTGGTTCTATATCTTTTCCTTTTGTGTCGGTTTTTCACCCACCCACCCTTCTCTCTCTCTCTCTCTCTTTTGGTGGTAGAGTTGGTGATGATTACCTGCCATTTTGCAGATCTCTAGCATAATTTCTGACCTTAAGCATGCAACATTTAGCTTGGACTCATCTGAAGAAGAGGCTGGGAAGGTTGTGCGAGCATTCCTCCAGCAGTATGCATCTTCAAGAGAATCAATGGAAAACTCTGCCATTGAGACTGTTCGCTTTGCTGCTTTGAGGCTTCAAATTACATCCCAAAAAGCCCTGTTGATAGAGAAACGATCCATTAAGAAGCTGTTGGATAAAATAGGTGATGTTGATCCAGCGAAAAAGCAGATCTTATTGTTCCTAATGTGTCTTCTGAAGAAATATGGACAACAAATTGTGAGGGAGCAAACAGAGCATAAAGAATCTTTTTCATTAGCAAGCTCTTCTGATGTATATGTTGAGGTGGAATCTCATGCAGACTGTGGAATTGATGAGGTCACAACTGACATGTTGGGAGGTCCAATTCCCCCTGAAGAATTTAAGTGCCCAATATCGTTGAGATTGATGTACGACCCTGTTGTCATTGCTTCTGGGCAAACTTTTGAAAGGATGTGGATACAGAGGTGGTTCGATGAAGATCATGATACGTGTCCCAAGACCAAAAGGAAGTTGGAACACTTGTCATTGACACCAAATGTTACCATGATGAACCTTATTACAAAGTGGTGTACGGAAAATGGGGTCACCATTCCTGACCCAAGTACACAATCAGCAGCAGACTCATGGGAAACCTCTTCCACTTCCATTGCTAGCTTGAGCAATTCTATGAATGATTTACACCTTCCGATGGATTTCAGTAATGTATCATTTGAATCCTTGGATGGTAACAATTCAGATTCCTCACGTGTTAAGATCATAGATAGCTCAAACTTGGTGTCAATGCAGACCACTGACAAGTCTCAGAGATTTCAATCTCGTGCAAATATGCATGCAAAGAACAAGAGGTCTTTAAATGAGCTTGACAAACTTCCTTGGGAATTACAATGCGAGGTGGTTGAAGATATCAAGAGCCATTTGAAACATGATGATGAAGTTTTCCATTTAATGTCTTTCGAGCATTTTGTTGAACCACTGATTAGATTTTTGAAGAGTGCGTGTGATCAGCATAATGTAAAGGCTCAGAGAACTGGAACTCAGTTGTTATTAGCATTTGTGAGCATGTGCAGGTAATTTGTTCTTATTTGCTGGTTGGTACTAATGCAGTGTTTATATTTGTAGACAATGATTTCCCTTATTTTAAGGTCATTCAAACTCAAAGGAAGTGCATACATTTCATAATATTTCAAATCATGACAAGTTGAACATAGCCATATTTCTGGAGTTGAGAACTATTGGATAGGAAGGACTTGAATATACTTCCCAATGCAAAGGTTTTCTTCAGTTGATAGAATGAATTAAGCTTACCCTAGTTAAGTTCACTCTAAGAAGCATGAACACTCCTAAAAAGTTGGTGTATCAGTGTCATGCTTGTGTCAGACACTGACAGTTGTCAGACAGTTGCCGACACGTGTCCGACACTCGTCCAAGTGTGTCCTTTTTTGTAAATTATCTATTAGTCCTAGACACTCTCGGACACTTGGAGGACGCAATTATCTTTTATACACTCATGAAACTAATTACAAGTTTGAATAAAATAACTTATTATACAATGATAAAAGAAAAACAATAGAAATTCATAGAAATTAGTGTTATGTTGCATTTCTTAATATCTTTGAATGGTACATTTACAATAAAAATATAAAACTTATATTTTGTATGTCTCCCCCACATGGCGTGTCTTGCATTTTTTGAAAATTGTCATGTTGGCGTGTTCATGCTTCTTAGAGTCCAGTGCTTATGCTCATACAGAATATTATTATACTCGCCTTGTAAACGTACAACTTTGAAGCATGAAATTGTGGTTGTTTGTCTCTGCTAACTTTGTCTTTCTTGTTGTCTCAATTCTTGGTTTTGATACTTGCATATGTACATTTCTTGTCTTATTTTCATATCATCCTATGTGGGAAAGATGCAAAATTTATCTCTCCATATCAATCGACTTTTGGTTGCTTCATGCAGAAGCAGTATACCACACCTACATGACGAGGCCTATAGTCTATTAGCATCGTTTCTCAACTCTGAAGTAGCCGATGAAGCTCTTGCAATAATGGAGGTGTTGTCGTGTCATCATAGTTGTAGACCTAAAATTGCAGCATCTGGGGCACCTGATTCCATCCTAAAGATACTCGAAACACAGATAAGACACTTCCTTGAACCGGCCATCAAAATACTGTACAATCTCTCCTCAAGCAGTGACATCCGTTCCCTCATTGTACCTTCGGAGTTTATCCCTAAATTGGTTCCCTTTTTCGAAGATATTGCTTTGGCCCGATACTGCATATCCATTTTGAAAAATTTGTGCCATGATGAAATTTCTAGGGTTTCTGTTGCTGAAACAGATGGTTGCATTGCTTCCATTGCTAAACTACTTGAAATCGGCAGTCATGAGGTTCAAGAGCATGCAGCAGCCGTTCTACTATCTTTATGTTCGGAACGTGATCAATATTGTCAGCTTGTCATGGAAGAGGGTGTCATCCCCGCCCTTGTTACTATGTCGATAAACGGGAACGAGAATGGGAAGATATATGCAATGGAATTGCTTCGATTGTTGAGAGATATAGACTATGACGACTACGCACAAGAATGCCCTGGACCTGATCTTGATGTTGATCTTGATCTTGATCTCTCCAGAGACTCTAGCAACCACTTCAAAGAGAAGAAATCATCTTCCAAGTCATCTGGATTTTTTGGGTTGAAAATATCAATATTTTCAAAACCTAGTTCTTTGGGACCAAGAAGGAAAAAGTAGAACGCATATTTCATCTTTTTTCATCATAGTGATGGCATGGAATGTGCTCTCGGGAAAGATTGTTTGCTCCTCCTATCCCATAGGTTTCTATGTTTGTCTGGAAAAGAACATTGATATCATGGGAAAGCTAATGCAACTAGTGGGTGAGTGGTTATGTATGATTATAATACATCACCCCCAACATGTTTTGTAGTTAGGTTTGATCAACAGGTTATTCATGACATTTCTTCAGGCATTATGTAGATGTGTGATTGATAAGAACGTGCAGTTTTTTATAGTTTGATGTGGGTAATTGGATGTCCTCAATTGATATGTTTTGTAATTAGGTTTGATTAACCAGTTAGTCATGACATTTCTTCAGGCATTATGTAGATGTGTTATTGATAAGAATGTGCAGTTTTTTTTTTTAGTTTTGATTAAGGCAATATGATGTTGAGTTGTGATTGATGTGTGTAATTTGATGTTCTGAATTGATTTCCTCCCTAGCATGTTTGGTACTAATTAGGTTTGATTAACCAATTATTCATGACATTGCTTAAGACATTTTGCGAGTTCTGTGCAGTTTTTTTATGGACTTGATGCAGGTAATTTGATGTTTGAATTGATTTTTGTTTGGATAATGATATACTAGGGAGAGAAAATGTACAATGGATATCTCCCTCTCTTTCATAACCCTCATTTCTCCTCCTTAATCTCAGTCACTTGGGATCAGGCAATCACCACAATTTTGACGTTGGTTGTCTATCACAAGACAACCCTCCTTTTGGGTTTTTTTTTTTTTTTTTTTGTTTTTGTTTTTTTGTTGTGTTTTTTTTACATAGCACTACCCTCCATAGCAAAAGAGATTCGAGACGAGACTTAGCGTGCACACATTATATTCATGTATTAATTACTGCATAAGGTTGTTGTTTAGCGAGGGAACATAGTCGTCACATCTTAATTAAAAAATGCAAGCAAGTGGTATCTTTTTTTAAATTTCAAATGATGCTTCTTGTGGTGCAAGCACCGTGTTGAAAACAGTGTAATATATTGCCCTACCATATAAAGCGGACAAAAATCCTCTACAAAATAAAGCGATGGAGTGCCCCCATCTTTGAATCATAACAGAGCCTTCAAAATTTACAAGTACGGTGAAAAAGTATTCTTGGCATGATTTGAGTAAAAACAATGTCAAGACAAATCACAACAAACCAATGCAGCTAAAAGCATACAAATCATTGATCTGTGTACAATAAATACCCATAATGCCAAAATTAAGATGACAGTTAAAAGGCATAAAATTTATCCCCTGCTGGTAAACACATATATGGCACTTACAAAAAGCAACTTACAGCTAAAACTGTCAGTCATAAAGCCTGGCCATGCATGATGAGCTTCCATGTTGAGAACAAACATACTTCAGATTCAGAGTTATAGGAGCAACTTCAGCAAAATTATGATCATGCTCAACAACAGATATGTTCCATATGGATAATATCATTATTCACAGGCTGGTTTTGTGTCGAAGCTGCTCAAGCAGATTGCGAAAGCTTGGAAGGCAGAGAGTGGGTATCGATAATCCATGGTGAAGATGTCTTTTCCAATCTTTCCAAACTGTAAAATTACCTTTTCTTGCTCTGCAGTTGGCACGTTGTGAGATGGATTAACAGCAGCCACAAGCTGGAAATTCTTAACAGAAGCAACAGTAACACGACCTTTAAAATTTAGGCACCAGCACTGCAGCTGTTCGTGCCATCTAGGAGACTTGTTTTTAAGATTCAGTGGCTCTCCAGAGAGTGGGGCTGATACTGGAGACGTGACACGGTCTGGGGAGCTGAAATCGGTGACTGGCTCCTTTCCTTTTGACTCTGGTGAGGGAGAAAATTTCTCATCAAGGGAGTGTGGGTATGATGTCGGTGTTGGGGCAGAGCCCCCCTCCTGAACAGAAGAAACAGGAATAGAATGCATGACACTGTGCATTCGCCTAGGCCCTCTTGTCCGGAGAACATTGAGCTCATAGGTAACAGTGGCAATGCTGTAGCTACATGCGGGTACTCTTGGAGATACTTGTTTAGCATGAAATCTTCGACTTGACCGAGTATTCTGTTTTACTGTGGCATCACTTGGAGGTTGGCTGTCATATATGGTGAACTTGGTGCCCAAAAAATTGGACCTGGTCAAAATATTCTTAAACATTAGTTTGGCTTTAGAAAAAAACCCATCAAACAAGGACAATTAGCATATGTAACAGGCGAAAACTTGCCTCAATTTTCCAACATATGTATTGCTGGCCCGGGAAAAATCATCTGCAACCAGAGATATCACAAACTCTGTGCTTGTTGCCCTTCTAATCTTTTTCGCAGCCAACAACAGTTTTTCGTTCTCATTCTCCACTGTCAATTACTAGAACCATAAGTGACAATCTCCAAGAGGCTAATAAAATTTCCATCTCATTTATGAATATCCTTGCAAAAAAAATTTATATCTGGATACAAACAGCTTCAGTTTTAACGCTACACCAGATTAACTAGAACATTGGCCACAAGCAGTTATCTGTAAATACGAACCAGCTATCCACACAAATATTTGTGTAGCGTGTATATATGCAATGGATTAATTACCATCAGAGTAAAGTTCAAAAGAATCCGTAAGTTTATGTGTCCATGAGCAAGGAATCAAGAAAAATTTATGTTGAGTAACGATGACATAAGCATAAGTTCAAAAATCTATAGGTCCTTAATTTAGGTGAATCAAGAAAAACTCAAGTGTCAAGTAAAGATGACATAAGCGGGAATAACTGACTTACAAGGCATCAGACCAAAGTACAGACGATATATGGAAGTTGTTCTGTCCCTTTTAATAAAGCACTGAATAGGAGAATCCCTCGGCCCAGGCTATATAGAAATAAGAAGCAAAATAGCTCGGTTAGAACAATATAATCATAACAATGAAATAAAAATAATAACAAACATAAGAACAAAAGTCACCTGTTTCAATGAAATGGGAAATGTGAGTCTCCCACATTCCTCTGGAGTCTTGACAATCTCCTTTGTAATATCCCTCCATGATTTGCAAACTGATGCACAAAAGATGACATCAGTCCTTGCAGGCCAGGATGTTTCGCTCTCTTCAACCCTCCGAATTATATCCAAAAGCAATTCCGGAGGCAAGTTAGCCCACTTCCCTTGTTCAACTGGCTCAGAAGGGGCTACATCAGGGGCAATATGTGATCGGGTTCGGTTACACCAGTGCTTGCCTTCCACCCTTCGTTTTGATATACTCCCCATTCCATCTTTCATCTCCCTCAGCTCGCGTACAATGCTTTTGAAGGACATCTCACCTGAACATACCAATCAATCCTTTCCTTCAATTGTCCAGCTTCAACCACATCAAAAAAGAAAAGACAAAAAAAAAAGAAAGAAGGTTTTCCCTTTTCATTACCTAGTTTTTGTTAAGGTGTATTGTAATTATCTTGATTTCAAGGAATAAAAAAAACAAAATCATAAAAATATTTCAAAGAAATCGAGCTGCAAATGAAAACTACTTGAAGAAAATTGAAGCAAATTCACAAAATTGAACAAGGCAAATATTGTAGCATTACCACAAAAAAAAGAAGAAAAAAAGAAAAAAAAAGAAGCAGCTATAACATTTCTGTGAATCTCCCATCAAAAGAAAAACAGAAGGTGCGAATTTTCAGAGTCATGTGTAACTTCTATGGTCTATTTATCGATTCATTTCTAACTTATCTTACCAATTGTTCTAGCAATTCAACAAAAATGCACACAACAAAGGTGAGAGATAAATCAATTGCAGCCTCAAAAATCCAACAGAATCAGCACAAATTACAGCAAACAAAAAATTTAATTAAAAAAAAATGAACATTAAGCACCAAAAACAAAAACAAAAAGAAATCAGATCCAGAGAATACCAAAAAAAAAAAGAAAAAAAGAACAATCAAGCATTAATTACAGAGGAGAGAAGAAAATCACGAATTAACAGAACTCTGACCAGATCGGTGAGAGAGAAGTAGAGAATTCGGCGATTGAGACTCTGGAATGTTCGGATCGGAGACAGGGGGGTCAGATCGGAGAAACACGGCCAAACTCAAGAATGCCGACCATGTTCTCCGAATTCATCTATCTCAGAGCTCCAGATCTCTTTCGCATCTTTCCTCCTTCAAGCTCCTCACATTTTACGGCACACCGCCACCGCCACCGCCACCGCCGAAGGGAAATGGGTTGCGCACGAGCAGAGAGACAGAGGCACAGCTTTCAATCAATCAAGTTAAAAAGCGCACCGCACCCCCACGCCAATTTTAGGATTCCCCTCCTTAAAAACTGATTGGGGCTTTTTTTTTTTTTAGCCGACATGGTTGGCTTTTTAATTTTTGGAACACTTTTTTATAGATATCTTTTTATCTATTTATATTTTATTTAGTTCATATTATTTTTTTATATTTTAATAAATTTTATGAGAGACAAAATTTTCAAAACACCCTTAATAGTATTCACATTTATAATGTGAATGTTTTGTGACAT